CAATGGCGATATAACCAATAATTAGAACTTTTAGGGCCATGTTCTTTATATAAGAAATATTCACTGTCAAGTAAATGATAAAATAGGGCAATGGATTCTACATTTTTGATTGTAAAGTCAAGTTTGCCAGTTTATTAATTTCCACAACTCAGTTAGTAGTGGCATGAAAAACTTGTCTTTTGCTGCAAACAAATGATAGGAGAACGCCATAGTGCAGAAAACGGTGGTTTGTACTCAACGCATAGAAAAAAGAAGGCGCATTGTTTTGGCCAGAAGTGAGTTCAGTTAAAATTCGTAAAAACGATCCTTTATGATGTATTGTGTTCCACAACATATCGTATTGATTTTTGGCTATTTTCTGAAAAAATATACATTTATATCTCAAATATTCCATTAGATCAAAATTCTCACTTTTAAGTAACAAAGGAAGAAAAGCGATCAAATATGTAACACGGTTAATTTCCCAAGAATACTCTGTATAGATTAACAAAACAATGGCTACTCAGATAAAGTAATGTTAACAAGTTAAAGCATTGTGCCAAATTTGTACGAGCTAGTTTAATACATTTAAAGTTACAAACAAAATACTAATTATTACTGCCCCTATTCACCTCCAAATCCCCCTAAATAATTTATATACATAAAATCCAATCTAATTCTCACTGAACATAATAAATAAGGAATAGTTGGTTGAAAGAAAAAGTTTAGAAGGCCATACAAACTGGAAATAAGTAAAATATAAACCAAAAGCGAAATTTGTTGACATGGTCTTGGTCTGGTGCACATTTTCTGATTCCATAATTTTAAGACCTTACATCGAGAGAATTAGAGGCGAAGCTGTGGATGCACATGTTTATATTCGTAAACGTCTTCTAAAACTAATTAATTTATTAATACTCATAATCAGAATGATGAAATAATATTCTGGCCCGATCTGGCTACATGTCGTTATGTTCAAGAAGTTGGTTAACTGAAAATAACAAAAATTTTGTATCCAAAGAGGGCCCCTAAAAATGTTCTTGCATTCTGTTGAGGAATTTTGGGTACTTATCAGCAGAATATTGCTTGGAAGCCCAAAACAAATAACAATCTGAGGATAAAAATATTCCATAAGGTCGGGGTAGTGGATGCTAACATCGTCCAGAGATAAATGAGGCAAGTCTAAGAAAATTGTGTACCCTATCAGTGTAAAACTAGTTTCACACTACTTTATTAGCATGTAGGAATAACTCTTTATGATTATATTATTTCAATAAAATAAATTTTACTGTTTGATTAACAAAAATCTGTTACATACGTAGTAGTAGTAATAGCGGTTGTGGGAGGCTGGCGTCAAGAGCCTTCTTTCCAACTCCCTAGCGCCCCTCCAACGAATAAATCTAATTTTGTCCTCTTTAAACCTCCTCGACCTCCTGATTAGGCTCAGGATGTCCTTCTATGAAAGGGAGCTGACCATTTCTTTCAGAAGCGCTTTGGTGCCGAAGTTTTCTTACCTCTGTCATACGAACATTTCACACTGCTCCAAGAAATGGTAGAATGTTTCTTCACTCTATCAGTGATAAAATGTTTCTACTTTTTGTACTAATCACCCTTATGTAACAAGATTTTCATCAATGAAGCTTTAGTTTATGAAATCCTTAATAAAATAAATTATCCTCAAAACAAACTGAAAAATTGATGTTTTTCTAATTTTTTTTCTGTTGGCAAAAACTTAAAGCTTAATGCATTTTCTCAAGACGATTTTTAAATTTTTCGGTTATATTATGTATTATTTGCTGAATTATTGTTTTTATTCAATTGTATTGAAAAGTTATGGTTTGTGGTTCGAATATCTGAAAGAAAAGATCACCTTTTTATAACAGGTATTATTTTTTGTTGTAGTTGCCAGGTGACTACTTTTCCTGGCCGAAAACTGCCATGAAATTCTTATTAAACTATGTCAAGGTTACGTGAAGTCGATTACGATCATATCTTTCAATTAAAATAAATATAAAGATTAAAAATTTATTTTTTCCTTACAATCGAATAAAAAATATGTATGACACGGACGAAAATGTTTTTCGTCCTTGTGTCATAAATAACTATATTTTAAGATGGTACTTACCTTTCTTGAAAACTCCTTATAATATTTCTTTAGTCAACTTTTATCCTAAAGTTGGTGTTAGAAGCAAAAAATAAGTTATTGATTTTAGAGATTTACAAATTTATAAAACACTTGTACTTAATAGGATAAGGACATTTAAGCTTAAATAGTTTACCAACAAACATCCGTAAGTGATTGTGCACCGAAAAAGCATTCTTCATGTGGGTTATATACAGTAAAGATAGTTTAAAAAACTGATAAAGTATTTTACCCGATAACTGTTCAAGAGATTTTCCTTGTAATTTATTTTAGGTAAATTGGGTAAAAAAAACTGTGTTATCATACTGGACTAATATAGTTTTGAGGTTTTTGTCACTGTAAAAACCATAACTTAATATAAAAATATAAATAAGGTACATTCAGGGAGCCCTTCGTAATCAGTCCGTATTTGGAAAGTTGAAATAACCTGATTTGCTCTAAGATTGCAAAGCCGCATTTAAGGTTGTCTGTAAGTACGCTGTTCTGCTTTCTCATTAGCTTCTGGAAAACTTTTTAATCCAATTTGAGTTTTACGTAGCTAATGAGAAAAAAGTAGTAGGACCTTTTCACTTCTACCTACTTACTGCTTTTGTGCATAGAGTTATGATGCCTATTATGAGAATATTTTATTACACCCGTCTTGTAAATTCCAACAGCGTTTCAACAGATACTTTAAAAGTTTTAAGTCTTTAATTTTGCACTTTAAATCCTGGAATTTTAATCAGAAAACTAATTTTATTTTAATTACTTTATTAAATTTCACAAGTAACATTAAATGCATTTTCTGAATAAAAATTAAATATCCATAAATACTTCTATATATGCCACTATTTTACTAAATAGAAGGAGTGTTATTAATAAACAGGAACGGTGGCTCAGTGATTAGCGTATCTATATCTAATTGGTGTGGATTTGATTTCCATTTACTATGAAATTATTTTTATTACAAAATTTATCACCAAGTTGTTCAGACTCAAAAAATAAATAAACCTGAATGTGAAATTATTAAATACAATATTTTAGATTAACGATTAGGTTAAAGCAAGTTAAAGCTTATAGTGCTATTTCCGAGGTCATAACCATCAATGCTCGTGGGGGAAGGGGAAACAGAATAGCTAGGTAGTGGAGTCTCTCCTTTGGAATAGCGCTCCGTTAAACTGCACTACGGAACTCTTATTTATTCCCATACGAATTTATATACACGATGTTTATTTATGTTATCGGAACTAGTAATTCATCTTTTGAAAAAAAATTGTATGAAGAGCTTATTCCTTAATAAACCTTCATGATGAGTGCTTGAAAATATAAAGAAAAGATAAGGTGGTATAGGAATAATTAAAAAAGTTAACAGATAAAGGGACAAATTGCTGTCAAACTGAAATTTTTTTGGGTTCAAAAGAGGTCCCTCAATCTCTATAAGAGATTACATTTTAATGTAATTTAGAAATTAATTTGGAAAACATTTTTTTTCCTGATCAAATTGAATAAGATGGTAACGTCGTTTGGGCAAAAAAAAAACCAGGAGAAGGTCGGTCCTCGTCATGGGCGAAGAATCACGTCTTTGGAAGGATGGTAAAAGAAGATGTTGAATTGTTAGAAAAAGAACTGATCCGGGAAATTGGCAACGGCAACGAAACGCCGTGACGGTGTTACAATCGAGAAGAATTTGAATCATTTCGAGAAAGTTTTCCTCATGCTTTGCGATAGCTAGTGCAGATCATTCTAGGGAGTTTCCATTTAGTGGACATACGATTGGGCAGGGTAGGTAGTTACAGACAAACTAAATCAGGTATACTAATTCACAAGTAGAAAAAGTTAGACCAAGAATGAGCGCGGCGGAATCTACTGGGGATGTCAACGATGCAATGTTAGGCCACAAGTTGAGAGTAAGACTAAATAAAGGAAATTTCAAACAGAAACGTTATACAGTGGCAAGAACCGATGCGCTCAGTCGGAGAGTATTTTTTTGTTAAAATTTCATTAGTGACCTCAGACGCGCCAGGAAGATTAATTTTCTACGGCGTGACAAGTTAATATAATTTATCGCAAGTTTCGTAACAGAGCGCTTTTAAAATGTGACAAAATCGGTAACGCAGGTATGCCGCTAAGCGATTATGACGCGATTTATCAAGGCTATAAATAGAATCGATAAGGAACATAGACCCAGTGAGAACATGTGGTTGTCTAAATGTTTATACAACGTTAGTCAACGTTTACATAATGTTAATTAACGTTATATTAACGTTTAAACAACAATGTGTTCTCATTGGGAAGAGGTTGTCGTCGATCTTCCGTGGCTAGCAGAAATCCAACCATAACTTAAAAGAGACGCATGAGTTCCGTACCGAGGCTGAAAATTACTTCTACCGATTGCATGTTCAGTCAAGAGGACATTATTTTTTTAGCGTTATCGTTATATCTCTGTTATAACTTTATTTTTGATGACACATTTAAACTCAGCTTAGAAAAAATTACGCTCTCCTTTTTAAAACACAAACCCATGCAGATTAGTATAATCGTTACCTTCTACAGAGAGATCCAGAATGATTAAAGGTAACGTCAGTAGAATGACATCAAAATGATTAAAACTGCTTTCCATTTTGTTAAAATTTATTTCCTTCTACCTGTCACAAATTTAAAATCGAGTGTCAATCGTGTTAATCTTGTCTAAAGAAATGTATGTAAGTGGCAGAGAAAAAATATTTATGAAGCGGCACGTTTAATTCTTCTGGTTTAAGATTCTGGATGTCTCTGTACTATTAATGATCAAAACATTTTGTTTTAAGGTGTTTCTATAATATAAATAGAAGAAAACAAAAAGAACTGCTTTACTTTATTGGTTAATTTAATGAAAAAAAAGTTCTGAACAGTTATTGTGGCTTCGTGATCGAGTGGTAAGAACATTTGCCTCTCATCCTGGAGTCCTGGGTTCGATCCCCGGTAGAGGAGCAAGGATTTTCTAAACCAGAAATTAATCCTAGCATACTCATACATAGGATGTTTGTCTCTAAATGTGTAGTCCTCTCCCACACAAGATAACTTTAGGTACCTCCAGGGATACAGGGGGTTGTATTTCCTGTGATGTTTAATTTTTAAATTAATTAATATACTGTTATGACGGATATTAGATGACCAGGGGCCAAACCGTCACATTTATTTGTGAGATCAAAACTCCAACTTCACTGTTACACTTTAACAACTTTTATAGAATACATTTACTGAATATTTGCCACAAAATAAACAAGATCGAAAGGCGCGTAAACTACCTAAACTCATTACATTGAGAGAACTAAAAAAAGAACTAAACTCAAGCTTCAAAATATATGACAGTCCTCTCAAATGCGTATGCAACCAACACTACTATACAGCGGCATGCTGGCTGCAAACACATAGGTTGTTACAGTCTCCCCCTTGGTTATGATGTCCCGACGAAGAACCAACTTGGGTCTTTTCTTTTTTGGGGGTCTTCCTCTACGTTTAATAGGGCGAACAGGTCCGTCTTCAGTTAAACCTATGACTGGTGTTAGAGATGAAACATGGTAAACTCCTAAAGGTACATTAGCAGTATTTGGGTATTGTATTTCGTACGATACAGGGGAGACCTGTTTAATTTTCTCATAAGGTCTATCACGTTTAGGGATAAATTTAGAGGTAATCTTCTTAGCTGCGTTACTTAGGAAATGGCCGGTAACCCACACTTTGTCACCTATATTGAGCGATGGGGCTTTTCTTCTATGAGCATCAGCATAGCATTTTCGTTTATCCTGCTGTACTTCATTGATGTCACGGGATTCTTTCCAGGTAGTTGCCATACGTTGAAGATATGGAGTTATTTGAGGTAAAAAAATTTCAGTTAGTACAACTGTACGAAAATCATTCTTTATGTCATCAGGAGTACGCATTTCTCACCCAAAAGTTAGATAGGCTGCTGTTTGTCTAGTAGACCCGCACTTTGCAGAGTTCATGGCGAATCTTATTAAAGGTAATTTCTCTAACCAAGTAGTGTGATCTTCTCCCACTAAAATTGCTAGTTGAGGTTTAAGGTCACGATTCTTCCTTTCTACCATGTTAGCAGAAGTGTGGTAAACTGGAGTAAAGATTTGTTTGATATCTAAACAATAGAAAATTTGCTGTATTATACTTGAAATAAATTGAGTTCCGTTGTCGCTGATGATACGTCTGGGAAGACCGAAACGTAAGAAAATTACATATATTAGTTTCTATTACATTCTTCGGCAGTGGCTCTTACCAATCCAAACAGTTCTACCCATTTAGTAGATATATCTTCTACAATTAATATCCATTTTTCTCCAGAAGGACTCTCAGGTAATGGGCCAAATAGGTCTTGGAAAGGGTTTCAAACCTTTGTGCATATACGGGAGTTCGTAAGAGTCCAGGAGCTTTCTGATTGCTCGCCTTGTATCTTTGACATTCCACGCATTGTTTGACGTAATTGGTTACGTAACGTCGCATACCAGTAACGTATGACAATCCGCTGCAAGGTTTTTTCAGCACCATAGTGAGCTGCAGTGGGAGCATCATGATAGTCTTTCAATATTTGTTCTCGTTCATGCATCGGAACGACTAGCTGAGCCTCTTCAGTGTCGTCATGTACATATCGATATAAAGCACCGCTAGTCATAAGGTAACCATGATCTGTCCATTTACTAAATTCTTCATTTTGAGAGTCTTCGAAAGCAAGTATTATTTTGGAAAGTTCTGGATCTTTGAGCTGCTCTTTACGTATATCAACAGCGATTCGCCTAGGAAGATTAATGATTATGGTGCATAGGTCACAGGTAAGTTCAGGGTCATGATTACATGGTGGCTTTGAGAGTGTATCCGCAACAACATTCCTTTTACCAGGTAATTGCTCAATTTTGACGTCATATGATTGAATCGTGAGGGCCCAACGGGCGAGCCGTTCCGTCGGAGATTTTAAGGTCATCAACCACTTCAGAGCTTGATGACCCGTTTGCACTGTAACTGGAGCTCCTTCTATGTATCGTCTGAACTTGGTTAGGGCGTACACTACGCCAAGAGCCTCGCGCTCCGAAGTTGAGTAGTTTATTTCGAATTTTGTCAGTAGTCTACTGGCATATTCAATTGCATGTTCTTCTGGTCCTTCTCCTTGAATTAATATGGTGCCAATAGCATAATTGCTCGCATCACTTCTAATAATATAAGGATTTGTCTCATCATTTTGTTGTAGTATCGGAGCAGATACGACTAATTGCTTAAGTTGGTCGAAAGATTTTTGTTCACAAGAAGTCCATTTCCAAGTTGCATTCTTTTTAGTTAACTTACTGAGTGGTCGCGATACGTCTGCAAAGTCTTTCACAAATCTATGGTACCAGGAACAAATTTGCAAGAATGATTGAACCTGTTTTACGTTACGCGGCACGGGTAAATTAGCAATTGCGGAAGTCTTTTCGGGATTTACTTGGATTCCATTAGGTGTAATCAAGTGTCCTAAATACTTAACACTCACACACGCATAAACACATTTGTCTCGATTGGCACGAAGCTTGAACTGTCGTAGTATACTGAAAACTAATTCTAAGTCTTTTACATGATCATCAAAAGTCTCAGAAAGAACAATAATATCGTCCAGGTACGTTAAAATTAGTACATCACTAAGACAACTACGAAAACGATAGATAAGCCGTTGAAACAAAGCCGAAGCTGTCTTTAAACCGAAAGGCATCCGCAGATACCGAAATGTTCCAAACGGTGTAACGAAAGCAGTCTTGTCTCGACAATTTTCACTGATTTACTTGATGATAGCCCGCACAAAACAATTCACGATAAACAAAATGTGGTGGTTTTTTAGGTCCAAAAGTAATCCGTAACAGATTTATTGCTTCATTCCATGTGTTAATTGATGGTTTTACTCCATGAAGCCAAGTAGCTGCAAAACTGTCTAGAAGCATAGGCAATCCGCGAAATGCATTGTCATTAGATATATGCATGCAGTCTTTATAAATTTCAGTTGCGTCAATAAAAGCATTAACATCTGAGTTTCTGTCACCATTAAACCGAGAAGCACAATTTGTGAAATTTCTACTCTGTATTGGAGGTGAAGGTATATTTATTTGTGAGGTATTGTTCGTATTTAATCTGAGTGTGTCAAGATGTTGTGTAAACTGTTTATTACTCATTACTACTTGTTCAGCCATATTCGGATTTTCTCCTTGATTACGGAGCCAATAATTACTAGTAGCCGTGCTGAATATTTAAAACACGTCACGCACTTTAAAATCAGTAGTAGTCTTACGCCAATATACATATCCTTCTTAGAAATGAAAGAGAATTAATTTCTCACGTTAACACACAATTTGAGTTAGTCCCTATCACCACAAGAAATGTTTTTGTTCTAAACACTAAAAAAACGATGATGAATTTTAACATGGGCAAGTCCACGCGAACGAAATATAAATGACGTTTAAAACTTATTTAAAATATCAAATGTCACCTATTTGTTCTAAATACACAGAAGCAAACAGCTAATTACACCGGCACACACAAAAAAAGTTGTCTGTAAATTTGACGCCACCTACCTCCCGACATGTATTTCGACCCGCTGAAACCGAATTTGAAATCAGTTTGGACCGTACATCCTCAAATATTGAGTAAATTGAAAAACCGTAAAAAATAGCGAAAATTTGGTGTTTCGGTAATAAAAAAATTTTGTGGATCTAAACCAAGCCTAATTTTTATGTATTTCGATCCGCTGAATACGAATCTAAAGTATATTTAGACCATATGCCGTTTTAAATCTAAGTAAATTGTAAAAAACCCTCGAAAATTGCTAGAAATGGCAAACAATTGTGATTATGTTGATGAAAAAAATTTTGTAGACCCGGATCGAAGAGGATTTTTATGTAATTTGATCTGCTGAATCCGAATCTGAAATATATTTGGCCCATTACTCAAAATCTCAAAAAATCACAAAAAACCGATAAAATAGCAAAAAAATTGCAGTTGAAAAAATTGAAAAAAATCTATGAAACACGATACATTTCTTGTATTTTCTTATGCATAAAATACAAGTCTAGAATATGAAAATGTGAAAAATTGTAAAATCTATAAAAAATGGCGTATAAACAGAAAGAAAATTTTTTCCATCAACATAATCACAATTTTTTGCAATTTTTTTTAGCAATTTTTGAGGGTTTTTTACAATTTACTTAGATTTAAAACAGCTTATGGTCTAAATATACTTTAGATTCGTATTCAGCGGATCGAAATACATAAAAATTAGGCTTGGTTTAGATCCACAAAATTTTTTTTATTACCGAAACACCCAATTTTCGCTATTTTTTACGGTTTTTCAATTTACTCTATATTTGAGGGTGTACGGTCCAAACTGACTTCAAATTCGGATTCAGCGGGTCGAAATACATATCGGAAGGTAGGGGGCGTCAAATGTACAAACAACTTTTTTTTTTGTGTGCCGGTGTTATTATTTCTTATGCTTTTAGCCAACACCGCACTGGTGAAACACACACCAAATGTTCTTACAAAATGTTTACGATATCATAAAAGTTCTCGAAAGTTTTCGAATTGTCCTAAAATATACCTAAAGAACCTAAAGAAATTTGCGTGAAAAATGTCTCCTTTTTGTCCTAAAACATTAGAAGTAAACAGATTAGCATTCACAATCAGTATTCTTCATGTTTTTTCAGTTTTTAAAATGTAACTTGAAGAAATTTGCCACTCGTTGGGACGCCAGTTTATGACGCATATTAGATGACCAGGCCAAACCGTCACATTTATTTGTGAGATCAAAACTCCAACTTCACTGTTATACTTTAATAACTTTTATAGAATACATTTACTGAATATTTGCCACAAAATAAACAAGATCGAAAGGGCGCGTAAACTACCTAACCTCATTACATTGAGAGAACTAAAAAAAGAACTAAACTTAAGCTTCAAAATATATGAC